CCCTTCACCTTCCTTTCACATGCCAAGGCTATGGCGGACTACTAAGGGCTCTGCCCTAATGTGCAAAAGACAACGAAAAGCAGCTATGGTCGCTGCTCTTCAGGCTGCCATGCCTGACTCTGCCTCAAAGCTTCCTTGGTGCGGCACTACCCCAACTGGAGCCTTCCAGATGCAGCGCCTAGCAAGGTGATGAAGATGGTGTCCACCATAGCCAGGTAGGTACCTCCCCACTCTCCTCCTTCGCGCCCTTCTTCCTCCTCCTGAAGCTGGGCTGCTCGCCATAGCCAGGCTGAGTGCCCAGCTCCTCGTCGTCCTTCCAGGCGGCGCTGTGTCCAGCGCTCGCTCGTGCAGTATGTTGCCTAACCTTGCACACTGCAAATGAGGAGGAGGAGCTACTCGCTCCTCTAGAAGATATACCGGCCTACTTGCCTCTTGGGCAGTGACTTCCAGGCCGTGCAGCCTCCAAGCAACCGGTACCTTCTCGTCCAGACAGGCCCTAGAATCAGGCTACTTGGACTGGTACCGGCCTACCTCTAGCCTATTGCTACTGGGCCTTTAAAAATGCCAACTTTTTCTCTTCTTCTGCTCGGCCTCGAGTACCGGACACATCTACCACTACTTGAGTGGTACCCACCTACATGCTTCTTGAGTGTTTTTCCCGCTGCTCTAAGTGTCGCGGGCCTACCCCCGCTACTTGAGTGTTTTCCCGCTGCAACCCTCAAAGTCACGGCCACAGGTAAGTACCAGCCCTGCGGGGCCTCCAAACACACACACACTCAGGCCGATAAGTACTCAGACAGGCACGCATACCAGCAGGCATGCACACACACAAACTAGGAAAACTTACCAGAATGCGGGAATCTCAGCAAGGCACACATTCCAGCGGCAGATCTCAGAAATCACCAGTGTTCTCAGTCTGTGTTTTGGCGGGTCATTACATGTTACATACTCCAATGAGTATGGGCAGAACCAAGGATCAACCAATGTAGGATGAGCATATATGCAACGGAAGTCTGATGAACGGACTGACTCACATGAGCATATATGCAACGGAAGTCTGATGAACGGACTGACTCACATAGACTGACTCACATAGCATCACTCCACACACATACAATCGTGAGGTGGTGGGGTCTGAGCCATACATAGAAGATGCTCAATCCCGTACACACATACACAGATGAATGGGGGAGGAGAGACGAAGAGGTGGGGGGAGGTAGACAGCACCGAAAGTCACCGAGATAGAATCTGATAGGTCACCGATATGGTAGTCCAAAATGTCATCCAACAAGATCAAAATGTTGAGGACCATAGGTCACCAATGTCGGGGATGCAGAGTCCAAATGTAACCGGTGTCTGAACTGTGATGTCGCCAAGTATCAACCCCAACGATCTCCAAGTCTCCAATCCGGTAAGTACCACAGTCTCATACCACCGAAGTCCAACACTGATCTCTGTCCAACTAGTATAGGTCTCCGGTCTGAAGAAGAAGAAGAAGAAGAA